AATCGAGTATTGTTTTTTGGCCATATTTCCTCCACGCATGCCCATCTTCCTTTGGACCCATTTTGGTGTCCTCCTCCCATGTCTGGGCACTACTTTTCCTGCAACAGAAAAAAAAAAAAAACAAATTCATTAATTATTAGCAACTTGAGTGATTAATTAGCTTAATTAACTAGCTCCTTAATTATTATTCTGTGCGGTAACATGCATGAACTCCAATATTAAAACTTATATACCCGATACCGACAACACACACATATATATGGAGTATAAAGTAACACACCTAGATATATACCAACAAATAATCTAAGACTTGAAAGTCAATCAGTTATAAAAGATCGATATAAAATCTAAGAAATGGATCAAAGGGGCGGGGGAAGTTGATCAGAGAGAGAGAAAGGGATGAAGTATATATGGTTCTGGTTCATATATACATATATACACACACACAGAGAGAGAGAGAGAGAGTACCTTTTCTTGGGAGTGCATCTTGTTGGATCTTTAATGGTGGTGGAGGTGCTTCTGGTCTTAGAGCTCTCCTGAGAGTCACCAGAGTGAGCAGGCAAGGGACAGAAGGAAGACAAGGAGGGATCTGCAGAAACATGGCGATTTGAGTTGAAGAGAGAGAGTGTGTTGGCGAAAGAATCCAGCACTTTCGCAGCAAGATCCTCAGCAGACGACGTCGTTAAGCCCTTAGTCTTATGATCATCTTCTCCATCCTCAGACCTAAAGATCAGTCGTCGAAGCTGGTTAGCAAGTTCACGCCCTCTCTCTAGCTCCTTCATTGCCAGATTCTCCATAACTGAACCACTCATAATACAAAGCAAAACCTTTGTATAAGGTGAGACTGAAGTACTGTGTAGTGAAGAAGAAGAAGATGAGAAAGTACTTAAGGGAAGTGTGAGATAGAGAGAGAGAGAGAGAGAGTTGGGTTTTGGAGAAGAAGATAAAGAGAAGGAGAGGGAGAATATAAGGAGGCATTCTGGCGGGCAGCGACCAGGCCTACCCAATTTTGGATGGTTCTTTTATTTTATTATATTTTTTTAAAATTTAAATTAATTGGGCATATGGGCGGAAACACGGAGGAAGACCATAGGAAAATTCCCCGGGAGATTAATTCTTAAAGTTACACGTGCTTTCACGTGCGTGTGAGGCACCAAGGGTTAGGATTTCCCAAGGGAGTGGATCGTGGGGTTGCGTGCCCGGGAAGGAGGGAGGTATTGGGGTGGAATGAAGGAGGATGACGTCACTACGATTATGTCATTAGTGACGTGTTAGCCAATGAGATGCAAGAACGTGGCACATCGGCATTGGCTGGACATCATGGTATTTTGTTGCATTAAAAAAAACATTGGAAAGGCCTCATCGATTGTTTGTTTTAGAATTGATTTGTTATCAATATGCGTACTTGCTGGTCAAAAATAAATATCAATATATGTGCTTGAAATTTCCCCAACAAAATTTGCGCGTGAACTTCTAATTAATCTTTTCAAACATCAAAAAGGAAGGAATGCAATTAAAAAATTATTTCTAAAAATGACTTCATTCCGTGTCTTAAAATTGTTCTAGAATTATTTCATTTAAAGTAACTCATTTGTTCTAAATCAAGATATAAAAAGTTGGAGCGGCTTCTATTAAAAGGAAAATAATAGAGAATCATTTAAGATGGTTTGGCCATATTCAAAGAAGGCTTTAAAATGTACTACTAAAAAATGTTGATCAAATAGTATGGAGTCTTTTAAAAAAATAGAAAAAAATAAAGAGAACAATCAATAAAATTATTGAGTGAAATCTTTCTATTAACAATTTAACTAAAAATTTGATCGTTGATAGATCTTATTAATATTATGCGATCCATGTAGCTAACCCCACCTGATAAGATAAAATGTTGTTGTTGTTGCAGCCTAATTGTTCTAAATAAAATTATTGGTAAATCAATTGTCATTATTTTAGTTATTGTTGTCCTATTAAAGTTGTTGTTACCTGTTTCTTATTAAAAAAAGTGTCATTTCATTTTTTTTTTTCATTTTTTAGAGATTTCAAATTAAAGGCGTTTAAATAATTTTGTTATAACATTTTGATTCCAAATTAATCTCTATAAGCTTCGCAATAATTAGGTTATTTTGGGTCAACAAAAATTAAAATTTGTGTATTTGGAGGGTATTTTCGTGTATTTTTCTCAAATTAAGAAAGCGTCATCCTATATTCTCACAGAGATGACAAGTGTAAAGTGTCAACATAGTATTCAACTATGATTATTTTCTTAGGAGCCTAGATTGAAAAGATTCTAGAACGTCGAATCCAAAACAAAATATAAAATTAATTTAGGAATTTTATTTCCTTTAAATAGATCTAAATAAAACAAATCGATGTTTGTTATTAAACCGGTCAAAGATAAATTTGCAGTCAGTGAAGCTATGAGGGGGATTTACATTATTAATACTCCGGTCCTTATTATAAGACTCAATTTAACTTTTTATTTGGTCCTATTATAAGACCCAATCCATTTTGTCTCTTATATTTATGTATTTTTTTCCAAGATAATCCTTCTAATAATGATAGTTTTAGCCAATATACTTAATTAGCAAGGATATTTTAGGAATGACAACACTTATTTATTATAAATAACCAACTTAACTTACTTCCTTAATCTCCTCAAATAAGTCAATTGGGTCTTATAATTAGGACCGGAGGAGTAATTAATAGAAAATGCTTGGTACGAAGGCTTACTTTTATTTGGTGCAGAATCTAATCCCGCGTTTCTGTTACAAAGATGTCAAAATTATAGTTGTAGACTTTGCAATATTATATGTAACCTCTTTTTTGGTTAATATAAAAATTAGATAACTAAAAAAAATTAATGAAGTTAATTAATTATAACAAATGTATTGATCTTTCTAAACTGCTATATTTAATTATGTGCATTGGAAATATTTTTTAGTGGCAACCCCTTTCAATAAATAAGAGTATTTTAGACTCAATAAAAAAAAGGAGTATTTTAGATTAAAACATTATAGATTTGGAAGAAGTTAATTGAGGTCTTATAATTAAATTCAATCTCTTTACTAACTCTTATATTAAGATCCGGAGTTAGTATCACTATTGTGTATTCCAAATTTTAAAAGAAACAAATATCTCCCTTCTGAAAATCTATCAAGCATGTAAAATAAAATACTAGCAGGTATTGGTCTTAATAAAATGAGCTTTAGCTGCTTTAACATCACGTCTCAAGTTCGATTCGAATATAAAAAATCTCTTTGGAGGAACTACTTTCAATTAGACCTAACAATACTTGAATATAACCTAGTTAGACAATCATATCAAGAAAAAAATTTCAAATTAAAGATAATTAACCTGGTTTCTGTTTTACACTAATAACAGGTATAAATAATAAAGCCAGAAAAATCTCTAGGGCCTGTGATGATGAGTTGCCATTGTTGATTGTCCAAATAGTCAATAAGATGCATCACATAGTTGAAAGCAATAGAAAATATTACTGTAATGAGTACATGAAGCATGTGCGCAAAATGCATTAGTGCTGCTTTAATTATCGAATCTTAAGTCACTATGCTTGTTTTTATCCACGAAGAATTTAAAAAGATATGTTTGTTAATTCAATGAAGGTGTCAGTGCATGAATATCGCTGAAAGCTATGTGTTTCTTTATTTTATTTTTTTAAAAAAAAAAAAAAAGACTTCTTCAGGGTAGAACATGCCGCGTTTTGTTTTTCAAATGTTTGTGCAAAGTCTTGATATTAGTTTGCTTGGATCAAGGAAACTAAACACGCTTTTATAAGATCTCCCATAATAATTGCATTTCTTAATTGGTGTATTAATTTTTTTAATTAAAAAAAGGATTATAAACAAACAGTACGCGGAAGTAGGTAATAAACTAAATGGTTGACTTATTTTGGACCTCGAGCATGGCATGATAAACAGTAATTATACAATGGAAATCTATTTCCAATTTGGCCCCCAAAAATAAAAAAAGAAATCTATTCAAACGTGTCAGTAAGCCACTTTATTGAGTCGAAAATAACATGGATTAAATTCCAAACCAATTTGCAATTAAATGCATTTTTCAGCTCATAAAAAATCTAGGAAAAAAATTATTTTTTTTAATAAATACGTATTAAAAAATATATTTATTATGTAAATATCAATTTGTTGATTTTCTAATAATTCTTATTCAATAATATAAATACATGATTTATAATTACAATATGAAAAAATCATTTTTATAAAAGCTTATTTAACATATATTTCTTATCATTTTGTTATGTCTTGCACTAAAACCAAGCATGGCATTCGAAGTAGGGAAAATCACTGTAAACTTCCAACAAGGGCATATAAACACACTAAAAATCTCAATGCCAAGTCAACAAATGATCCTTCTCGTCATTTCTTGTTGTTGCCCTGTAAGTTATCACCCACTTCTTATGAAACTCATTTGGTAATTGCAATTTTTTTACTCTCAGACCATAGTGATTTCCCCTTTAACCTATCCACTGTCATGTATTATGCTCCCTCCCAGGTACTTTTTTGGAGATATAAACATAGCATCGATTGTGAATGGCCTTTCATCTTAAAAGGGAAATGGCTAAGGTGCGATCGAATCCAGGTCAGATCATCAAAGTCAGATGACTAAATCTAAATATACCCTTCTTTAATTTCAACCTTTCTTTTTTTCCTAGAAAAAAAAAAAAGAAAGAAAAGACAAATTTCCTTTGAAAGAAAGCACCTGACTTTTTACACCACTAATATACACTTTTAGTAACGTCAAGCGTCTCCCAATCTCCCCTTGGGGGACCCCGATTGCTTCATATTTCTCTCTGTTCTTCCCCTTGCCCTAACACATCCTTCTCTCTCTCTCCCCCTCACTGAGACTCCAAAGACTGAAAGACATTTGAAACAACGATAAGATTAACTTCATGACTTGCCTGTGATCCCCATCCATCACAGCACCACATTACATTCTTGGTTTAACCATGTAAGGGGCTTTGGCCATTTGTCTCGCATCAATCCACTCTGCCACTGCTACTCATCTGAGAATCAAATCCACAAGAGATCACATCACAAACAGATCCTGACATGTTACAACAATCTAATATGGTGGACGAAACTACTAGATTGACAGTCAACTCGGTGGACAAAACTATTAGTTTGTGATAAGCATACCGATTTAAGAACCAATTTGCCAGGAATAAAGAACCAAAATGAAATTATAAACTTCAGTGTCAGCATATCAACAAATGCAATATAATGAAACAATATTGAAGGACAGACAAAATTTTGGCATGCGATGGCTATCACTTGTCTCCTTAACATGTTATAAATTAACAACTACAGACCCACTTTTAAAACCTGAAGAGGCTAGCGCTCTCCCCATATGATCATTTATTTGAACCCTAAATATTCACTTCTTGTTTCAAAAACTACCAAAAGGAAGTCCTATTTAATTGAATTTTCAAACATTTTTATGTAAAATAACAGGTGAACGTAATTAATGAAATTAAAATAATCTTGATGACAATTGAACTTTCTATTTTGTCTTCTCTTTCTTCTATACTGAGCCCTCAGGCTCAACTCCATTAAACACCTCCATCACGCAACATTTTTCTTTCCCTTTTCTCCTTGGGCTTAGTCTATGCCCATTATCAAGTAGAAAAATAAAAATGAGAGTAGAAGCACACAATTAATATCTTATACAGTTTGTTCAAAAGAAAAGACTTATACAACAAGGTTAATCTCATGTTTTAATTGTGTAGTTCAACTACAACAACGAAACGTACTAGTGCCTC